CAGTGCCGCTGTGTGTTTAGCGAGTACGAAGAATGCTGCGCTGCCTCTGCTACTGCAGTCCTTGCTGCTATGCATCCGTGAAATCATTTTGCGTGGCATTGCGTACTTTTTTCCGTAGTTGAGTTGTAGAGGACCTGTGCTTTTGCCTAGCATTGTTGCGCGTGCTCTGTTCTCTCTTCTTCCTCTCGTCCTTGCCGCCATATGAAGATTATTTTGTCACACTCGTGTCGGCGGCAGGACCTTCGGGTTTAACTACTTATTGCTAATAACTCAAGCCACTTTGAGGGGCTCATGATCCACTTAAAACCTGTGCAGTTGAAGAGGGAAGCTCTGGGCAGGAGCGGAGATAACAGGCGAAGATCCTTAACATCTCTCGGGGTCAGCGGTGTCCTTCACTTGTGCCCTGGCTTAAGGGCGGTTGCGCGACCCTGCTAAACACTAAACAGAAGGATTTACGAAGTATCTGCTGCAGCAGGCCTCCCAGCAAACATAGGTGCTGAAGCATGTTTGTCCTGGTGGGTGGAACAACTCTACGCAGTCGCCTGAGCGTAAACGTAAGCAAGAAATCCTATGCGCGAATGTCAGTAGTCTCTACGCAGAATTGGGCAGCTCCAGTAAGGCAGAATAGGCAGGACGGTCGGCGGAAAAGCCAACAACACTCCATAGCGAGGACTGTGTTATCTTCGCAGCTGGCTTTAACTCTGCAGCGGACCTCCACCGGGGTTGCATAATCTGCTGGCGTCGTGCAGATGATCGTAACTAGAACATAGACACCCACCTATGCATCTATGCATACACTTACGAATTCTCCTTGCCTTGCATTTGTTTCCTTTGCATCGTCCCGACCAAAGATCTTAGGCAGGTGAACGTCGCTGTCGAACTTTCTAGACTGTGCCACCAGGTTTTCATGCAAGTATTAGCTGCTTATGGCGACCGCCTTTTGTCTGCATGAGCATGAGATTCTCATTCCTATATCAACCTGGATAAGCATAACGTGCTTATGGGTGGAGGTGTTTGCTAAGTCCTCCCACTGTTCCGCGCTGCACACTTTTTCAACCTACAACGTGCGGAAATCACTGAATGCAATTGAAGGGTGTTTTCAAGAATGCATCTCGCCACACTTCAGTTCTACAATACATAAGGTTGCGTTTGCATTAGTTGACTCTGGCGTTCTCGGAGAACCTGGTGGCACACTGTACACAGCTCCACAACGGCGTTCACGTCTCCCAGCCAGCTCGTTTGCACTTCTGCTGAACCCGATATGTCAACAGATATACAGAGTTGCGCGCATGAGCAGTAGTTTCGTCTCCAAGTTACGCTATACTCCCATCTCCTGCTGTCCTCTGTTCATGTACACTTCGATGTTTTCAAACTGAGTAGTGTCTCGCTCACCTGTGTGCTGTGAATCCCAAGAACATTAGAGCACTAGGTAATGCTTCCGCAAACGTGGAGTCTGCTGAGGTGAGAATACGCTGGCTTCTACAGACGGGCTCAAA